TACCGATGAAAAAGAGACTAAAATTCAAAATAAAATTTAAAAAATAACTAAAATTGCAACTTAAAATTTAAAAAAAAAAATCAAAATCATAAGTTTAGAATAAGGAGACAAAAATTTAAAACAAAACTTAAGAAAAGTGAACTAAAATGATAGTTTTTAAAATTTATGAATCAAAATCAAGAAAAAAACCAAATAGGAGAACTAAAATTACAATTAAACCAAAGTAATTTAACGAATGAAACAAAACACATCTATTTATATACATAGATTAATCCTATAATCCATTGAATTATTTTTATCATATACTTAAAATTCAAAAAACAAAAATACAAAAAAAATCGAATTTTTTCAAAAATTCAAAAAATCATTTTTTTTACATAAATACAAAAAATCAAAAATTTCAAAAAAACAAAAGAATCGGACTTTTTTGAAAATACGAAAAACGAGTTTTTACGAAAATAAAAATCAAGTTTTTCAAAAATATAAAATTCGAGTTTTTAAAAAAAAAAATCAAAATATCGTTTTTTTTTTAGAAATAAAAAAAAAACAAATTATTTCAGAAAATACAAAAAATGAGTTTTTTCGGAAAAAAAACAAAATATCAATTTTTTTCGAAAATACAAAAAGTCAAATTTTTAAGGAAATACAAAAAAAAATGAGTTTTTTCCGAAATACAAAAAATCGAGTTTTTTCATAGAAAAAAAATACAAAAATCGAGATTTTTCAGAAAATACGAAAAAAAATAGTATTTTTTCGAAAAAAACAAAAAAAAAACGAGATTTTTTAGAAAATACAAAAAAATCGGGTTTCTTTTGGAAATACAAAAAAACGAGTTTTTTCATAAATACAAAAAAAAAATAGTTTTACAGAAATACAAATAAAATCGAGTTTTTTTTTAAACGGAAAAAATTGAGCTTTTTTTTTCAAAAATAAGAACGAATTTTTACGAAAATGCAGAAAAATTGAGTTTTTACAAAAATACGAAAAAAATCGAGATTTTTCCAAAAAAAAACAAGTTTTTTTCCGAAATAAAAAAAATGGTTTTTTCAGAAATACAAAAAAAAATTGATTTAAAAAATAACAAAAATCGAGTTTTTTCGAGAAAAAAAAAGATTTTTTTTGGAAATACAGAAAAACTGGGTTTTTTCAGTAATACGGAAAAAATGAGTTTTTTCAAAAAAACTGAAAAAATCGAGATTTTTCAAGAAATACGAAAAAAAAATCGAGTTTTTCGAAAAAAAACCAAAAAAATCGAAATTTTTTGAGAATTACGAAAAAAATTGAGTTTTTCTGAAAAAAGAAAATTCCAAAATTTTCGGAAATACGAAAAAAATGAACTTTTTTCAAAAATACGAAAAAAATCGTGTTTTTTCGGAAAAAAAAACTAAATATCGAGTTTTTACGAAAAAAAAACAAAAAAGTGTTTTTCAGAAATACGAAAAAATCAAGTTATTCGAAAAAACAAAATAATCAAGTTTTTTTTTTCAGGAAAAACAAAATGTCGAGTTTTTACGAAATTACAAAAAATCAAATTTTTCTTAAAATAAGAAAAAATCGAGATTTTTTCAAAAATACAAAATAAATTGAGTTTTTTGAATATACGAAGAAAAAAAACCCAATTATTTTAGAAACACAAAAATATTAAAGTTTTCAAAAATACGAAAAAATCGAATTCTTTCAGAAATACTCAAAATCAATTTTTTCGAAAATATAAAAAATCTTGTATTTTCATAAAATAAGAAAAACTCATGTTTTTTCTGGAAAATTAAAATACGTAAAAAATAATATTTTATACTACTCTAAATTTAAGACATATTTGATGTTTTGAGTGGAAAAATGATAGACTATTCTAATTTCTCAGTTTTCAGAGTTTTACAATTTATCAAATAAGATCTTTAATGCTAGATTTATGAAATGTGCTTTTATTTGTTACCTTAAAGGTTTGAAGAGTTACAAGTTATGGAAGATAAAATCTCAAGGATGAAAATTTATCATAAACATAAGTGATGAGATTCGTATTGAATAAAATGTAAAAACCTTGAAGTGACATACTCATATTCTAAAGTGGAGAAGACTCATTTTAGGGGTGGGGGTTCTTACTAAAGTGGCTAGAGATGAGGAGGGTGGTGAGACTCTCATTTCTAGGAGTATTGAACCACCTCAATATGTTAATCTTATTTGTTATATTTTATATGTGGGTGAAGGATTGCAAGAGTCAAAATCAAATACTGAAATTGAGTTATGAGATGTATTCATTGGAGAAGGATCGGGAAATTATAAACCTACCTCGGAGATAAAGGATTGTCTGTTGCAAATGAATTTTCAAGAAAAATGAATGTATTATGGGGATTGAGGAATCAAGATATAAAGGAAGAATTGTAGCAAAGAGTTTTACTCAGATGGAGGGAATTGATCATAATAAGATCTTTTCACATATGATAAAGTATTTGTGGCTAATGTTAATCAATATAATTTTGAGTTTGAACAAATCGATGTCAAGACTGATTTATTACTAAGAGACCTTGAAGAGACAATTTACATGGTGAAACTTGAAATTTTTGTAGAGAACTGATCTAATGTGTATCTTTTGAAGAAATCTTTGATGAATTTTTTCTAAATCATAGATTTGTGAGAAGTGATAATGACAATTACGTGAATATATTAAAGATGAATGAAGAAGTCACTTTCAACCAATTTGTATATGTTGATGATATCATGATAACATACTTAGTAAGGAAGAAATCGGTAAATTAAAGAAAATATTGGTTTAAATATTTGAGATGAAAGATCTTACCGAGAAACTTAAAAAGAGGTGAAGTTTTCTTATTTAAATCTAATTACTTGAAAAAAGTGGTAGAAAGGTTTAAAATGCCTGATGTTAAAATCAACAATACTTTTTAGGTCATTACACTAAACTTTTGATTATGTAATGTCCTAAAATTGAAGATGAGAAGAAGATTATAGAGAATATTCTCTATGAAATTAAGGTTGAAAGCATCATATATGATATATGATTTTTAGTAGATCTAACTTAGTATATGCAATTAGCATAGTAAATCATATTATGGTAAGTTCAGGCCGAGTTCAATGAGAAACTTGGAAGTGGATGTGAAATATTTAAATAGTTGATTGAAGAAAAGTTTATAGTACATCGAGGCAACTTGAGAAAGTTGCGCTTTTGAAGAATATGTACATGCATACTATACTGAAAATATAAACATTAGAGAATTCTTATTGAATTTTATATTTTTATTGTTGTAAGAAAAACCAACAATTTGTTGTGGTGTTATCTACAACTTAAGTGGAGTATATTACTCTTAGTTAAAGGGATTAAAAACCTATTTGGTTAAGAGGTATGATTACGGAGTTAAAAATCACTTAAGAATGCGTGAATATCATTGTGATTGTCAAAATACAATTCATTCGGCTAATCATCGAGTGTATCATTGCTCTAGTTGAAAGGATTAAAAATACCGTTTCATTAAAAGAGGTATGATTGCAAAGTTAAGAATCACTTAAGAATGTGTGAATATTATTGTGCTAATCAAAATACAACTCATTTGACTGATCATTGAGTGTATCATAAGAGAACAAATCGCATGATTCAATTGAAAGAGACTGTGTTATAAAAAATTACTTTGATATGCGTTTATCAGGCCATTATCTAGGCCAGGTTCAAATATTACTTGGACTTAATCAAAATTTTAAATAGTGATTCAATCTTAAAAAGAGCATTATCTAGGCCAGATTCAAATATTACTTGGACTTAATCAAAATTTTAAATAGTGACTTAATCTTAAAAAGAGCAATAAGACTACTAATGGATAAATTGATATCAATATTGATTAAGTAAAAATTTATTGTATATGTCTTAAAATCTCTTTTGTGACAAAATTTGAAAATTTATTGAATGTCTTAAAATCTCTTTTGTGACAAAATTTGAAGAATATTTTTTAAGATATGCCTTGTGTGCTAGGTAGTAGGGTTATTTGCATTTTCGCAAGCATGAGGCGGCACTTGGGTTTTGTGACTAAAAAATTGAACCTTATTTAGAGTTTTTTCCTATCATTTTTGTAAAAAAATCATGTAAAGGTTGAAAAACACTTTTTAAGTATTTTGAAATTGAGTGATTTATGTATTGAGAAAAATAAAGACTTGAATAAAGATTGAGTCACAAATTAATAGAGATTAAAAAGTTGTTAAACTAAATATTGATTTACCATATTTATTTGTGTTTGAACCCTTCACTTGGGAACATCTTATTATGCCAAACATTTATTCATATGGTGATTCCCCCTTAAAATCCCTTTCAATAACCAACCATGAAGGAGAACAAAAACAGCTCATTCTATCGTGTAAACAAAAGGGAAACACAACCACAATTCTCTCAAACCACAATCATATCACACATACCAAAATAAAGTAGGGCATCTTAACATCTAGAATACAGCATAACAAAATAAAAGATATGGCACAGAAATAGAACAGAAGCAAGATTATCCATTACTGAATAAAATAACATTCATCTTACAACATTTAATAGGGATTCTTTCTTCCTCACACACAAAAATAACAGCAACTAGTAACTAATAATCAAGGTTTTACAATTCTTGATAATCGCAGCGGTTATATGCAGCGATCACAAACATCAAAACCCTTGATGTATATGCAAGGATCACAGACATCAAAACCATTGATGTTATACGCATCGATCAGCGGCACCAAAACATCAAATTGTGGTCGCAAACCTTTTTCGAAACCATACTAATACTAATACTAATAATAACTCTTCGGGCTTAAAATTACCCTAATACTATAGCAAGGCATGGATCCAAAAAACCATAAATCCAACTGCCTAGCAGGAATACACACTACGTGACTTGATCTTCAAAGACGTATCTTCAATCTCACAAGTATATATACTGCTTCATGATATTGCACCAAACCTACACTGTACAAGGATGAAGTCAAAAGACACGGTTGCTTACAAACTGACCGCATCATCTCCCAGCACTGGTTAGGGTTCTCTCCAATACTTCAGAGTTTGATGTCAATGAATGTAAAGGAAGCGACTCAGAACTCGCAGGGACAGCTTCGGTCCTGGACTCTTCAGGGGTATGCAGAGGTTGAGGCGTGTATGTAAAGGAAAGATCTTTGTTTTCAGATAGAGCTATGAGCTCTTTCTCCTCTAACCCTTTGGTTGGCCCCAAGCTGCATCTATCTGGAGTGTGTTTGGCCAATGCATCTCTAAACTTCTTGATCTGTGTCATGTATTCAAAATCTATCAATTATCTTCAAATTCAATGTAATAACTAATACCGAATCGAATACAGCCAAATAAGTAGACTAACCGTGGCATTGGTGCAGCTAAAGCTGCATACACGACCCTGAGCGCCTCTATAGAACCGGAAGAAAGGAAGAACATGAACACTAAGGCTGTAACACATGGATTTATGCTCTTCATAGTTCACTTGTAGGAACTCAACATCAGGATTCATCTCTGCAAATTGACATATCTGTCATAATGCCAGAGCCAAAACAAAATCAGAACCACTGTAACAAAACTCATCTGTGAATCAGTTATAGCTTAGGTGTTAAGATTTAAGATCAGTACCTTAGGATGAAGGGCTTTGCAGCCACCACAACCAGGAGAGAAAAAATCAACAATCACAAGCTTGTCCCCTGCGTTTAAAAGTGAATCTACAAGATCTTGTGCTGAAGTCACCTCTCTCATGTTAGGTTGAAGACCCTTTTCCCACCATTTCTGAGCTTTCCCTATTCTAAGTGTCATCTGCAAATTTTCACAACAGAAACAATATCATTAACCAAATTCCAGAAAACCCTCAAGAAAATCACAAATCATTCTGGTAAAAAACATAAATTTAAAATTAGGGTTTTCACTTTTGCAAAAAAAAAATCAATATAAAATTAAATTAAATTAGTATGATTAACATAACTTCTATGAACAAAAAGGTCTTAATTATTGGGGGGAAACAAATTAAACATAATTAAACGTGATTAAACATAATTAAACGTGATTAACATGTTAAAATCAAAAGGGTATTTATTATGATTTAAGAACCAAAGAACCAACCTTAGGAGCAGCAGAAACTGAAAACTGTGAATTGATCCTTTTGGGTATTGATCTATATACACGAAAGAGAGGTTTTTTGCCATGAAACTCAGATGAAGAAAAAGAAGATCTGAGAAACTGAGATTTCAACTTCAAAGATGGAACCATGGAAGCCCTTTGAAGTTGTTGATTTCTGTTTCCGTGCCAAGAAGAAACTAAGCTTGTTTTCATCAAAATTTCAGCCATTAAAAATTCAAATTTTCTTCGCAAAAAAAAAAAAAAAACTATTCGGTTACGTTTTGTTTCAGATTTTCTCGAGAACAGAGAAATGGATGAGAGAAAGAAAAGAAAATGAACACTTTTTGTTCTGAACAGAAAGCGCGGAAAAAGAGGATTTATCCACAAGCAAAGTGGGACAAGGTTGCGGTTCTGAAAAGGAAACGGAAACAACAGAAAAAAAAAACAATTATGTTACATTAAAAACTAGATAAAGTTGAAATATTCTATGGATAGTGTTAGATTCGTATTGGACGGATGAGATGGTGTTTGATTAGGTCGTCGGTATGATCGGACGGTTGTAGAGGCGAACAGAGAGACACGTTGTGGTGGTGTAGGAAGTAACAAATGGATAAGAGACATTTAAGGTATTGTGGGGTCCATTATTCGGTGAAGTATGTGTTGCGATTTTTGTGATATTTGATAAATGGTTTTTGGATAATGGGGCAGTATATGGTTTTGCTTTTTTTTTTCTTCTTTTTTTGCCACCTCATTGCCATTCAATTCAATTTCGTCTTTTTCTTGGTTTGAAATTTGAATGATTTGGTGGTGATAATTGTTGGGAATCAAATCAATTTCTATCACACAAAAATTGAAATAAAGTCATCGTCGATTAATTTCTATCACAAAAAAATTAAAATAAAGCCATGGTCTATAAAATTTCTTTATTCAAATTAATTATAGAAGTCGGCACGGACTGTAATTTATAATTTAAAGTTATAATTAAATAACAAGTCGGCAGGAAGTATTCCCTCTTATTCTTTTTTTTTTTAATATATTATTCTTTTTAGATTTATTGAATATTTATATAATTGATTTGTAAATAATTTAAACATATTAATTATTCAATAAATTTAAGAAGAGGAAATAATATGGCAGCTAGATTTTAAAAATTATTGTATTTATTTTAATTTAAAAATAATAATATTTAATCAATTCATCTATTAAGTAAGAAGTTGAAAAAGTAAAACAAATAGGATTCACACTTAAATTATAATGATTCACCTTCTTATTTAGAGATCACTCCAATGAAAATATTTAGATATTTAAATAAAATTTTATAAATGTAACTGTTCTGAACTGGGTCCATCTTGGCCCAAAGTGTAGGTAAGGGTCCAGTCCAAGCAAATTCTTTGGGGAATGATCACCAGCGGGCCACCACTGACGTGCCCGACAACAGATTGTAGCCACTACGCTCGTCATTGTCTGCGACACGCAGTGTCCCCGACCAAGGGAACTCCAGCTTGAGCACCCTCCCCGTAGGACAAATTATGTTCATTCTGACCGTTATCGAATCCTCTAAACTTCGGAAAGACCGCGTCTTCGTCCCTCCTTATTCTTCGTGGAGCACCACCAGGAAGGGGACTACGTGCGGGGCCTCACTACGCACGTAGAACCTGGCAGTTCTTTTATTGGGCCAGTTCTGGTCAGCCTTATGAGGGGACCTTGGCCCAGCGCTGGGGGCTATAAATACCCTCTGTTCCCAGAGGGTCAGGTATTCATCTATTACGCACCTATACATTTTTTGCCTGCTCATTCTGTCTCTCATTTTAGCATCGGAGTGTCTTGCAGGTACCCCCCCCATCTCACTAAAATTCTGCTCGAGCCAGTCGTGACGGTCCAAGTCTGATCCGATAAGATCAGTGGCATCGTCTGTGGGAAACTAGCTTCCCCGTCTTGCAAACTCTCGAAGACCAAAGCTCAAAATCACCTCCTACCGTCATGGCTGACCAAGTTCGGGATGACCAGAACGTCCGCATCGTCGACGTCAACAACAACCTCACGAATAAAAACGGAATTTCCGACAATCCCGGCCATAACACACTCCCCGGGGGCACCATCCCTGGGCCCTCGGTCCACCGCGACGGAGCTACTGCCTCATCTTCTTCAGTCCCTCTGCCACTCGAAGAAGACAATACGGCTCTCCCAAACTATCTAGCTGCCCAATTTCAGGAAGTCCCTGTCCCCGCCGGGGAAGATGCCACGACCCGCGCACTATTCGTGGCAATCAATCAAACCAACTACCTCATCTTTGACCAGGGGGAAAGACTGAGGGCGCTAGAAGACGACAGAAGACCCGCGAGGAGACACAGGATACCTCAGACCCCACCTCCTCGAGTAACAGAGGTACATCTCTCGTCTCCCCCGCGGAGACATTACAGAGACACCTCCCGAAGCCCGTCGCCCCGACCATCGGGGAGACGACCCCCTTGGAGAGGCAACCCGTCATTGAAGCCGGAGGGCGCAACCACGGCCCCATACGGCAAGAAAAAAGACACCCTGGAGACATGCATGGGAGAATAGACCAACGAGCATCCCGCTCGAGGGGCACCCAGCACGACCAGGACCGTCGGGCCCGACAATATCTCAGGTCCTCGTCCCTATCCCCAGAGCAAAGTGACAAGGACGACCCCCGCGGTCCCCTTTCACAAGCCATCATAGAGGCGCCCATTCCCCCGGGCATGGAGAAGCCTCCACATCTGAAAGAATACGACGGAGTCGCGGACACAGTCGACCACATAGACGGGTTCGAGGCTATGTTGCATTACCATAATGTCGGGGGACCCATCAAATGCCAGTTGTTTCCCACGACCCTCGGAAAGGCAGCAATGGATTGGTATAAAGGTCTCTCCCCGGGATCAATCACCTCGTATCGAAACCTGAAGAATCAATTCATAAGTTTGTTCACCGGGTCTCGGCGACATCCAAAGACCGAGGCAGCACTCGAGGCCATCATCCAGAGACAAGATGAAACCTTGAGAGAATTTATCAATCGCTTCAATCGCGAAGCCATACAGGTCCCCTGCGCGGACCACATGAAAAGATACTTGTTGGAGAGGGGGCTCCTCCCCGACACAGAATTCAGAAAGGCGGTGGGTATCGAACCACCCCGAACATTCAATGCTCTCCTCGAGAAGGCCCGTGCATATATGGATTACGAGGAAAGGGAAGCGGCCAACAGAGCCCGGGACCCCAGAACTCACGGATCCAGCAGCAAACCGCCCCAAGAGGCCGCCCCTCCTTGACAAGCCGGGGAGAAAAGAAAAGAGGACAGACCCCGAGAAGTCCGAGAACAGAGAGGACCCTCGGGGCATTTCACAGAATACACTCCGCTCACGGCTTCCCGTGAGCGCATCTTGGTGGAGTGTGCCAACACGGATTTCAAAGATGGCAGTGTCAAGCACTCCCGACCAGCTCCTGCCAAGCCCGGAGTAGACAAGAGCAAATACTGTCAGTACCATAGGATCCATGGTCATCTGACTGAAGACTGCGTCCACCTTAAGGACGCCATCGAAACCCTCATCAAGGGAGGAAGGCTCGCCCAATATCGACGAAACGACGCTCCTTGTCGCGACGCCTGGGAGACGAGAGAGCCAGATGAGGACGCCCGACCATCTGACGAATCGGTCCCCATCCAGACCGGAGGACTTCTACGTCCCCGAACACCTGCAGGAGCCGCTCACGACACACAGCAGGTGGGAATACTTTCCCTCCACCATAGTCATCAATGATGGAGGATTCAACGACCTAACCATCAATTCGGCCAAGAGGAAACTGGATGAACTGGTTGACTCGACACCTCCTCAAACGGTGACCTTTGAAAGGGTGAAAGGTAGGTCGGAGCCTATCACTTTTTACCTCGAAGAGCTCCCCGGAGGAGCCCCCAACGTGGTCATTCCTCTGCTGATAAGAGCAAGAATGGCTAACTTTGATGTGCACCGCATCCTCGTCGACGAAGGAAGTTCCGTCGACGTGATGTACAGTCAATTATTTCGGACTCTGCAGCTAGACGACTCGCACCTCTCACCGTATGTGGGGTCGGACTTACAGGGCTTCAACGGCTCGACCTCCAAACCTTGGGGATATGTCAAGCTCATGGTTACCTTCGGCGAGGGCACGACGACGAGGCAGGTCAAGGTGCGCTTCCTCGTCATCGACTGTCCGTCCCTCTACAACTGCATCCTGGGGAGACCAACACTGGCAGAACTGACCGCAGTACCCTCCACCGTCCACTTGAAGATGAAATTATACACCAAAAGGGCACGGTTCGCTACCATCCAGGGGGACCTGGCTGCTGCTCAAAGGTGTTTTAACGCCGCATCCAAGGGACGCGACACGGTCGACACTGGGACAAGGCCCACCAAGAGACCAGCAATGACATGACAGGAGCCCGACAAGCCAGAGCCTGTCAAAGCAGAAGAACAGAGAGCTCCCCCAAAAATCGACTCCATAGCTCTGGACGCCCGCTTCGACCAGGACTAACCTCCCAATGGCGAGCAAATCCCCCTCCGACCAATTCCGAACGGGGACTTCGAGCTCGTCCCCCTTGGCGAGGACCCAAGCAAAGGAGTGAAGATTGGTACCGACCTCCCCGACCTAGCGAGGAAGCAGATCAAAACCTGCTTGCGCGAGAACGCTGACTTGTTCGCGTGGAGCGCCGCGAAGATGCCCGGACTCGACTCCGAGGTCACATGTCACCGTCTCGCCATAGATCCAGCCGCTAAGGCAATAGTACAACGCAGGCGTAGGCAGTCTCCAGAGAAAACGGAGGTTGCTGAAAAAGCTGTAAAAGACCTCCCAGAGGCGAATTTTATTTCTGAAGCCCGATATTCAACTTGGCTGTCAAATGTTGTACTAGTTAAAAAGAATAATGGAAAATGGCGGATGTGTGTTGATTATACCGATCTCAATCGGGCATGCCCGAAGGATGCTTTTCCTTTACCGAACATAGATATGCTGGTCGATAACTTAGCCGGTTACAAAATACTATCGTTCATGGATGCCTATTCAGGCTATAACCAAATCCCAATGGCCATGGGCGACAAGCATTGCACTGCCTTCATGACCAGCTCGGGTAACTATTACTACAACGTAATGCCCTTTGGACTAAAGAACGCAGGGGAAACTTACCAACGTATGATGAAAAGAGTGTTCCACAAGCAAATCAGAGACATGCTCGAGGTTTACAT